GCACTTTTTGACCATGCATATTTATTAATGACATAATTAAATTTATGCACATACAAATTAAACTAGCATGGCCAACTTTCCGTATCGAGAAATTCCTTCTAAATATAATTTATTACACTTATAAAATTAAAAACATAATTAATTTTAAAATAATCATAAATTTACTTTTACAATAAAACTTTAATTTATTAATAATTATAATTAAGAGTTGTATTCATAAGCATTTGATTCATGAATTTATTTATTCGTAAATATGAGTTAAATAAAGGACTCAAAGTTTTTTGAACAATAATTTTGGAGTAAATATTTGATATTGATTTAAATTAAAGTTATAAAATACTATTATCATGTTTAAAAATTATCAGTTAAATAATAAAAATTTAAAAATTAAACTTACAGTTTTTTTAATAATAATTTTGGAGTAAATATTTGATATTGATTTAAATTAAAGTTATAAAATACTATTATCATGTTTAAAAATTATCAGTTAAATACTCGTAATAGACGTTGTCCCATTGAACATGTTATGTACACAACCCACATATTTTTATGATATTACTCAATAAAGTTACAGTTTATGATTATTTACTTGCATGATATTTACTTTTAACATTTTATTCCTGTATTTAAAATTACAAAATATAATACAAATATTTAAAAGTAAATTAAATATTTATTTCAAAAATTAAACTTTTTATAAACTCATAATATTTGATCACAAATTATAATTGAGATTACACTCCCATATAAAATAATCATCATACATAAAATATAGTTATGCTAAAAAATATTATCGTAAAAAATGAACAAGCACATTGACACATTAATCATAGATATGAGCAGCATCAGGGTGCAAAATAATTTGATTTTTACCCACATAAATATGACCAGTGTAGCAAAATAGTTTCCGATTTGTATAACGATATGTGCGTAAAAAATCTGCAACTATTTGATTACTCGGTATGACTACCACAAAATCAGCCCGACCCTCATCCATCTCGTACATGTGTTGGGGCCCGTAGTTGTTGAGTAGTATCTCTGTACGGTTGTGTAAGTAGGGATCCAGGTCATTTAAGTAGATGCCCGCCTCAAACTCGCCGTGCGGTGGTACCGGTCGTATATAGCCCTCCCGTTTTATGCCGGCCGCACCCTCTATGTCGGTGTAGTGGTACAGTCGGGGACTATCTTGGTAAAACTGTGACAAATGTATAATTCTATAATTAGCAAGGTGTTACATTTTATTCTAGTATGATTATAAGCACTAGTACATTAGGCTAATATTAGTAAATTGTAGCTATTAAGTTGATTAACTTGATTAACCCAATTATGATTAGTGTAATATTGGACTAGTATAATATTTTAAGATATCATAAATAGCCATACTGTATTTAGATTAATCAAGCTTAATTAATAAGTCTATCATTTCATAAGGATTTAATAATAATTATATTGTTGTTACTACTTACCATGTTATAACGTTGCATTTTTAAGACAATTTAATAATGATTGAATTGAATTTAACTGATAAATGTAATACAAAACACAAGTAAGTCTAAAATAACAACAATATAATAATGCTAGCATAGACTGTATAAATAATGTTTAACTTAATGCAAATACAAAATATGCATACTAAATAAACATAGTATTATATTACATTAAAAAATAAATGTTTATGCAATACAGTATACAATAAAATACATAATTGTTTATAATTATAAAATTGCCATTGTAAGTTTTGACTATGAGCCAATATAGGTCCTTACGACTAACTTGCAAAATAGTTATATAATATTTATACTCACATAAACTATGGTATAAGGTGACTGGTATAAATTCTATGCTGATATGTTTTAGCGCCCATAGTATCATAACAAAGTGCTACTCACTGAGCGTTTTGTGGTGCAAATGCGTTGACATTGAATAAACGGTGTCTACAATGTTTGTACATAAAGTGTACGCAGCTATGAATACACAAATATTGTGTAATACAAAATTGCTATAGTTACTATTATTATGAGGGGCGCTAGTGTAGTGTAGTTTAAAAAACTTGTATTGAATATTAAATTGAAATCTATTTATGGTAGTTAAGTGGTTAGTAAAGTGATAAGGTGACTGATTAATAAAGATCAGTTAAAATTAATTCCCCATTTTAAAATCTTATTACGAGTGATACTGTTTAATAGCATTCTCAAGGATTTTTAAAAAGTTTATTAACACTAATTAATTAATAAGTTTGGTTTTTTTTGTTTGCTAAATATTATAATAAAATGAATTTATGTACGGCCATGTCCATTTAGCCCCCAAAATTACTGCCCCCAAAATTACGCCCCCAATTTTTCATATGAAATTTTCAACAAAATT